AAAGATTTTTTATTTATTTATCTGAGAGAGAGAATGGGAGACAGAGAGCATGAGAGGGGGAGGATCAGAGGGAGAAGCAGACTCCCTGCTGAGCAGGGAGTCCGACGCGGGACTCGATCCCGGGACTCCAAGATCATGACCCGAGCTGAAGGCAGTTGCTTAACCAACTGAGCCACCCAGGCGCCCCTTACGTTCTGCATTTCTAATAAGCTCCCAGGCGCTGCAGATGCCGCTGGTGTGGAGACCACACTTCCAGAAGCGTCGCCTACACTTATGCCTCCATCTTCACCTCTATCTCATTACCGATCTATGTTTTAGGGAACATATGGCTACTCTCACATCCTTTAATTTCCATTATCATCAGTTGTCAATATAAACTGCAGCATCATACATGAGAGAAAACAGATATTATGGTGCTTTCCAATTCTTTCCACTTAATTGAGTAACAAAATTGTCAGATGTAAAAATGATTGCCATGTATCTTCTTCCTCCCAGGAGAATGGTTCGATTGTGGTCCATTTCTTGCTTTGACTTGCTTTTCACTGCCTTTGGCTTTTAACTTGATGTATTTACGTTTTAACAATTCAGGTTTCTTTTCCAAATAGTGAGATGAAACAGGGACGACTCAAAGGCAGCTTCATTTTGAAATTGGCCAAGCTTTTGTAAACAAGCTCTTGACAAAGCAATTTATAATTCTCTAAACAACGGCGAGAAAATATCACACAGAAAAGCAGATGTTATTCTCGGAACTTCTTTTTTTCAGGTCTACGGTCATTGTCTACAGTTACCAAACCAACCACATTACTTCAAGTCAATTTTGGCTTTGCTGGATGTCAACCTTGTTAGCTATATTCGAGGTGTGGTTCGAAGAACAAAGCTTCTCAGAGACAGCTCTGTGGCCTGCTTCCTTGTGTTCGTTTGACAGCGCTTGATTTAAGGGTTATGATGGCTCATGTTTGCAGCATGCAATGGGAACACAGTTCCCCGGATGCCAACCTTAACCTAAATAAAAGCTAGGCCTGCATCTCCTCAGGGTCAAGTTAAAAGAATATGGGCTGTGCAGTCTCAGACCTCAGCGGGTACCAATTAGTGGGAGACAAGACATGTACACAAGGAAACGTAATTGTTAATTTTAGTGGGTAAACAGTTGCAAGACTGAGGAAAAAAAAAAGTCACTCTGTGCTGGCGCAGTCGGGAAAAACTTCATATTCCATTTGTTCAAATCCTTGAGAAACAAAAGGTTACTTCTCCAGGAAGTGAAATGCAGACAGACATTGAAAAGGGAGGTACATGTTTACAGACGAGGCCAAAGCAAAGACTTTCTGGAGCGAGGAGGTAATGTGCAACGAGAGGGAATGATCCCAAGAATGATGGATTTCACTACTGAAATGATTATTAATGATGGCCACCTGCGACCTGTCACAGATGTCTTTTACGTTGGGAGAACACGGGAGATGGAAGAATAGGGACAAAATTTGTGCCCTAAAAGAGAAAAGGAAGATGTGTGCTTTGGCCAGTTCAGAGACAATATCTCTTTCTCCCTTAGTATATCGATGGATGGATGGATGGATGGATGGATGGATAGATAGATATTTTGATTGATTGACTGATGGATGTGTATGCACACAGCCTCAGATTTTGTGAAATAATTCCAATTTATATCATTCCATTAAATATTCCAAATGCCCCAAATTGCAAATATTTCAGGAAATAGCCACTGAATAAATGATATAGTCAGAAAACATTGAAATAAAGCTGTCATTTTAAAAGGTCACCAAATGAAGAACTCCTAGGCTGTAGTAAAAAAAAAAAAAAAAAAATCTGCATTTTAGCATCTACAGCTGTAGATACGTGTAAGTGGTGTGGGGTTTTTGGTTTTTTGTTTTTTTTTTTTGGTGCTAAAGATATGTCTGATAAAAGGTAATTTGTCACAGATTGTGCTATGGAGAGAATTTATTGGAATTTATTGGAAGCATTGCAGTAGGAGAAATGGTGACTGTTTCTAAGAGTATTTAGATGCAGCAATTGGCCTGTAGTTTCAATTTGTTTAAAAGTATGTTCGATTAGGCACAAATTGAGTTGCAAAATGGTATTTTGAAGTAAAAGTCAGTATAAAAGACAGGAAAAGCAAACACTTTCCAAAATTAATATATTTTCTAAAGAAATGTAATATTTTATAAATAAAAATAGCGAGATAAATGCTACTCACAAGTAACTTTGCAATAAAATGAATGAATGAAAAAAGAATGCATTTTAAAAATCTGTTGGTTCTCAAATCTTAGCTCCCAGAACTTCAACAGATCTCTCCCTCCATCTCTCTCCCTCCCTCCCTCTCTCTGTCTCTCTCCCTCACTCTCTCTGTCTCTATCCATCCCTCTCTGTTTCTCTCTCCCTCTGTCTCTCTCCATCCCTCTCTCTCTCTGTCTCTTTCTCTCTCACACACACACATACACACACACACTCATTTTCAAATTAAATGTAATCCTATTAAAAACAAACTTGTGCCCCAATAAAACACAAAGCAGTTATTCAAAACAAGCTTGCATCAGAAATTCAAAAACATCTGTCACAGGAATGGAGTAAAACTTTTGACTCCCATCATTAATATAAACTGACCATAAATATCAAAGCTGCTCGTATCTTACTGAGAAATCATTATGAAGGAACCGCAGTTAAAATGACAGCTCTGGAAAATGAGATAAGGGACGTATTGAGGGATTATCTTGTCTTTGTACTGTGATGGGACCTACATGAGTAGGACAGTTGGCACGCCCACCGAGACACTGATGCCAACTGCAGAGTCGCAAAGTGTCTCAGGTCTGAGGGACATCTCAAGAGATTACTGGAGAATAAAGAAAGACATTTTCACGAATCATCGAGGGTAGTACAGAGTTCCTCAACCTTGGTATTCTTGACATTTGGGGCCAGAATATTCTTTGTTGGAGGGGACTGTCCTGGGCACTGACGGATGTTTAGCAGCATCCTCGGTCTTCACCCACTAGATGCCAGTAGCAAACCATTCCCTCCCAACTGCGACAACAAAAATGTCTCTAGACATTGGCAAAAGGTGTCCTGGGGGTCAAAATTCCCCCCAGTGAAAAGCACTGGGAGCACATGTTTACATAAGCTTATTTGATCAACTAATGTCATAAATATTATAAAACTCTCCAAAATCTTATATTCATGCAGAACTCATTCTGTGAATTTTGCCAACGTGTTGTATACAAATTTTCATATTTAATCACAACAGATTGACAAATCTGGAGTGACTGTTTCTTAGGTATAAACATTTGAAGAAATGTACTGAAATACTTCTGATGATTTTATGAAAATACCCAAGGATTCTCATCCCGAATTTGTGATTTGGGGCTTAAACCAAAATATTATCACTGTTTTACATAAAGCTCTCTTCAAAATGGAAGCACAGACTGTGTTAGCATTGGAAACTGTATAGAAACTGTGTTGCTTATTGTTATACTTTAGATGAAGGAAAACAGTCTGTTTCCCCCGTTTAAAGAGAGAATCTCAGAGTAATACTGCTGAGGATGATATACCCTGTAATTCTAAAGATTTTGTCATTAGTTATCAGATGTATCTTAAATAACTATTGATAGTTAATATCAATTACTCAGTAATCAGCCGGGGGGAAAACCTCCCTGGTGAAATTATTACAGAAATCCTCAATTACCATAACCATTTAAGTGAGATTTTTGCCCTTAAACTTTGTCTTAGTAGAACTTGCTAGTAAAATGAAAAAAGAGAAAGTATATTTAAAGCCAAAGGCTATTGACTCTACTTAGTTTTTTAACCTGAGAAATTAATATTCCAAATAAAGAAAATATGCACATTTTTTTGGCTAAGTTTATTTAAAAATATGTGATTACATTGTTTAATGATAACAAATCTGGAGATCAAAATGCTTATCAATAACTACTAAAATTATAATACATTCAGTGGCAATGCAGAGGAATTACTCAAATTTGACAAGAAATATTGGAATTTTTTTTTTTAAAGATTTTATTTATTTATTTGAGAGAGAGAGTGAGAGAGAGAAAGAGCACAAGAGGGGGGAGCAGGAGAGGGAGAAGCAGACTCCTTGCCGAGCAGGGAGCCCGATGCGGGACTCGATCCCGGGACTCCAGCATCATGACCTGAGCCGAAGGCAGTCGCTTAACCAACTGAGCCACCCAGGCGCCCGGAATTTTTTTTTTAAGTAGGCTCCACACCAGTGTGGAGCCCAACATGGGGCTTGAACTCACAACACTGAGATCAGGACCTGAGCTGAGATCAAGGGTCGGACACTCAACGGACTGAGCCACCCAGGCGCCCCTACTGGAAGTTTTTAAGAATAATTTTTTATTGAGGTATAATTGACATATAACATTATATTAGTTTCAAGTGTACGATGTAATGTAATGATTTGATATTTGTATACACTGCATATGATCACCACAATAAGTCTAGTTAACGCCCATCACCATGTGAAGCTTCCCACCCCCCAACAACCACCATTCTGTTCTCTGTATCTATGTGTTTTGTTTTTTGAGCAAGTGCTGACAACACACCTACGTCAATAATAAAGGGAAAAATATGAAAGCTATACTTTTTTTCTAAATTGTTCATTTCTTCCTCATTTCTTTTTGTAATTTTCTCATGAAGATGATTCATTTATCACTAAATATAATATTATCATATCACCAAAAAACATTTCATATAATTAAATGCACAAGTCAGAAAAAAATATTTGTTAGTCTGTACATATAAATTATTCTTTCAGAAAATACTGTCACTATGTTACTCACATTCCCACACAAATAAACACCTCAAACCTAAATTTTGACTTCTGTAATTATTTGACACTTATTGTTGAAATCATAATGATCTAAAAGATACCTCAATTTGAAAGAGGAAAACATCCTAGATCAAAGTTCTTTTTGTTGTGATGAGCACTGGGTCTTATACGCAACTAATGAATCACCGAACACCACATCAAAAACTAATGATGTACTATATGCCGGCTAACTGAACGGAATAAAAAAAAGAAAAGAATTTTAAATTGAGAAGATAAAAAGAAAAGCTATATTGCTCTTGCTAGATTAGTGGTTCTCAGCTGGGGTGCCCTAGCGCCTCACAGGACAGATGGAAATATCTGGAGACATTTATGGATGTCACAATGCAGGGGAGGGCACCACTGGCATCTCGTGGATAGAGACCAGGGATGCTGCTAAACACCCTTCATAAGTGGGGAGCACTGTGTAATGTATACAATTGTTGAATCACTGTGCTGTACACCTGAAATGAATATAACATTGTACGTCAACTACATTTCAGTAAAAAAAAAAGATCGGTCCCAAATGTCAATCAATAATAGCGTGAGGCTGGGAAACCCTGGTTTAATCTGCACAACAAAGCAAGAAGCATCTAATTCAAGATACTGTGATGAGAGTCCCTTTTTGGGGAGCATGTGATATTTACCAAAGAGATTTTTCTCCTTCCATGGCAGGTGGAATTTTAACTATCCCCTCTTGCTATTATTGTTGGCATCTTATGGAGCAGGAAAGAAAATGGAAGATTGAGGGGACAGTCGAAGCAGCCCCAAGTGGGCAGTCCTTGCAGTGTCATTCTCTAATTGAATCTATCTTCTATGAGCCACAAGTATGTACTTGGATACTGAGTCAAAGCAATGCCTTCCCTGTAAAACGCAACTCACTTGACGTGCTAAAAAAAAAAAAAACAAAAAAAAAACCACATCATAAAAATCAATACAAGCTAAAGCATAAGCAAAGAGTTTTAATAACTGTCTTTTTTTCCCCCTGATGTCAGCCGTAAGTGATATTCTGTACTGCTTGGGAATTGCTATTAAAATCAAACTTTTAACAGCCCTAAGTAAACATCTTAATTTTCCACGAAACTGAAATGATG